ACCCATTTCGGAGGGCACAAATGCTGAGCATGTGCTTTACCGCTTGAAACGCGGCTCCAAGCTGCGCGTCCATCCGGATGTCGCTCTGCTGGGTCGCAAGATCCTGCTCTACACCAACTATCCGGCCGAGGGCAAGAAGTTCGTGCGCACGGAATATCGTGTGCTCGGTTGGCAGCTGAAGGATGGCCAGCAAATCACCAATGACGCGCATCCGGATGTGCATGTCGTGGACACAGACATCTTTAGTGAGCTACACCTGAACATATCGGGTACATTCAGATTCTACTTCAGCTTTTCCGATGTGTGAGTACTCTATATATAGGGAATACCGTATACATCTTGACTAATTTCTCTTGCTTACAGGGAACGCAAGGCGGACTCTCCGCCGGATGGCGCATTGTATGTACAGGTGGAACCCACGCTGCATGTAGGTCCAGTGGGTGCCCAGAAGATAATACCCCTCAACTCGGTGCGCTGTCAAACGGTGATGGCCAAGCTGTTGGGCCCGCTGAACACGTGGGAGGCCAAGCTGCGCGTGGCCAAGGAGTCTGGCTACAATGTCATCCATTTTACGCCCATTCAGGAGCTAGGTGGCTCGCGCTCCGGCTACTCGCTGCGCGATCAGCTCAGCGTTAACTCACAATTTGCCGCGAAGAAGGGTGAAAAGGTCACGTTTGAGGATGTGGAGAAAATTATCAAGAAGTGCCGCCAGGAGTGGGGCGTGAGTGCTCAAGTTAATCCCGTTTCTCGCTTTCAATTATAATGCGTCTATCTCTACCTTAGGTAGCTTCGATTTGTGACATCGTCTTGAATCACACCGCCAATGAATCTGAGTGGCTGCTAAAGCATCCGGATGCAACCTACTCGTGTGCAACATGCCCCTATTTGCGCCCAGCTTTCCTGCTCGATGCCATGTTGGCGCAGTGTGGCGCGGACATAGCCGCGGGCAGCTTGGAACACGTGGGCGTGCCGGCCATCATCGATCAGGAGTGCCATTTGGAAGCTTTAAAGTACCAATTGCATAATGTCTACCTGCCCAAGGTCAATATACACGAACTGTATCAGTGCGACGTGATGAAATATGTGACCGAGTTCATGGCCCAGGTGCGCACGCGAGAGCCACCAAAGAACGTGGCGAACAAGTCGCGATTCCAGGAGATTCAACTGATACAGGACCCGGCATATCGACGCTTGGGTAGCACAATCAACTTTGAGCTGGCATTGGAGATCTTTAATGCTTTTCATGGCGACTGTTTCGATGAGGAGTCGCGATTCCGCAAATGCGCCGAGACGCTGCGACACCATCTCGACGAGCTGAACGAGCGCGTTCGTGCCGAGCTCCAAGGCTACCTCACCTACGCCATCGACAACTGCCTGGCGGGCGTGCGCTATGAGCGCGTCCAGCACGACGGACCACGTGTGCGTGAAATCTCGATTAAGCATTCAGTCTTCATGACCTACTTCACGCACACCAACACGGAGGGCAAGACGCTGACAGAGATCGAGGCGGACATGTACGGCAAGGCGGGCGAATTCTTCATGGCCCACAATGGCTGGGTCATGGGCTCTTCGGATCCGCTGCTGGACTTTGCCGAAGAGCAGCCAGGTCGTGGGAACGTGTATCTAAAGCGTGAGCTCATCGCCTGGGGCGACAGCGTGAAGCTGCGCTTCGGCAAGCGACCCGAGGACAGTCCCTACCTCTGGAAGCACATGATGGACTATGTGGAGACAACGGCGCGCATTTTCGACGGTGTCCGCCTGGACAACTGCCACTCGACGCCACTGCATGTGGCCGAGTATCTGCTGGATGCAGCCCGCAAAATCAATCCGGAGCTGTATGTGGTCGCCGAGCTGTTCACCAACTCCGATGCCACCGACAATGTGTTCGTCAATCGCCTGGGCATTACCTCGCTGATACGCGAAGCTCTCTCGGCTTGGGACTCGCACGAGCAGGGTCGCTTGGTTTATCGCTATGGCGGCGCGCCTGTGGGTGGCTTCTATGCGAATCCCAATCGTGATGTGGCGCCCAGTGTGGCGCATGCGCTGTTCATGGATCTAACACACGACAATCCTTCGCCCGTTGAGAAGCGAAGCGTGTACGATTTGCTGCCCTCCTCGGCGCTGGTGGCGATGGCTTGCTGTGCCACAGGCAGCAACCGCGGCTACGATGAGCTGGTGCCGCATCACGTGAGTCCCAATATGATTTACCCATAATTAAATGCAATGCCTAAAGTTTGCCTATTGTTTGCCAGATTCATGTGGTTGATGAGGAGCGTCCCTATCAGGAATGGGGCAAGGCCGTTGACTTCAAGACGGGCATTGTTGCTGCCAAGCGCGCTCTGAATCTACTGCACGGTCAGCTGGCAGAGGAGGGCTTCAGCCAGGTGTATGTGGATCAAATGGATCCCAATGTGGTCGCCGTGACGCGTCACTCGCCCATCACACATCAGACGGTCATCCTGGTGGCTCACACAGCCTTCAGCTATCCCCATCCCAATGCTGGACCTACTAATGTACGGCCGCTGCGCTTTGAAGGTGTCCTGGATGAGATCATACTCGAAGCCAATTTGACATTGAAAAGCGACAAGCCGTTCGATCGTCCAGCGCCCTTCAAGAAGGAAAACAACGTGCTGAACGGCTTCACCCAGTTTGAGCTGTCGCTGCAGGAGCATATACCGCTCAGCAAGTCGCAGGTGTTCGAGACGAACCAGTACACCGACGGCTCCAATACGCAGCTCAACTTTGCCAATCTGCGTCCGGGCACTGTGGTGGCCATTCGCGTCTCCATGCGTCCCAGTGCTCGCCTCAGCTTCGATCGCCTGCAGCAGGTCACAAATGCACTGCGCCTCGTGTCGGGTGAGCAGTGCGAGGAGCTCAAGGCGATTGTCTCCAAATTGGACTTGACTGCATTGAGTCGCGCGCTGTTCAGCTGCGACCAGGAGGAGCGTGACATGGGGCTGGGCTGCAGCGCTTACGATATACCCAACTTTGGACCCATTGTGTATTGCGGTCTGCAGGGCTTTGTCTCCCTGCTGACGGAGATTTCGCCACGCGACGACCTCGGCCATCCGCTGTGCAACAACTTGCGTGACGGCAACTGGATGATGGGTGAGCTAGAAGCCTGGAGTACAGATTGGTTAACTTAAGTAATAATTGTTACTGTTTTTATATATATAGATTACATTGCTGATCGCCTGAACAACTTTGATGATCTAAAGCCTTTGTCCACCTGGTTTAAGGCAACCTTCGAGCCGTTAAAGAATGTGCCACGCTACCTCATACCGTGCTACTTTGATGCTATTGTGAGCGGTGTCTACAATATTCTGGTCAATCAGGTCAATCAACTGATGCCCAGGTGATTGCTGCATAAGAATTAAATGTAAAGTTGTATATATAAATTGATATTCTCTTCAATTGCAGTTTTATACGCGATGGTCACAACTTTACTCAATCCTTGGCCGTGTCCACGCTGCAGTTCCTCGCCGTCTGCAACTCGGCTAATCTGCCCGGCTTTAGCCTGGCCTTGGCCCCGCCAAAGCCGCCCAAGCAGTGCGTCACACTGTCCGCGGGTCTACCTCACTTCTCTACAGGTGAGCGCAAATGATTTCTCTGTTATTTAACTAACTCAAACTCTCATATTTTCCTTGTAGGATATATGCGCTGTTGGGGTCGGGACACGTTCATCGCACTGCGTGGCACAATGCTGCTCACCGGTCGCTTCACAGAGGCGCGTTTTATCATCATTGGCTTTGCGTCGGCCATGCGCCATGGCTTGATCCCGAATCTGTTGGATAATGGGGTGAAGCCGCGCTTCAACTGCCGCGACGCCGTCTGGTGGTGGCTCTACAGCATTGCCCAGTACGTGGAGGAGGCACCGCAGGGTGTTAATATACTCAAGGACCAGGTGTCACGTATTTTCCCGTACGACGACTCTGAGCCGCATCCGCCGGGCGCCTTTGATCAGCTGCTGCAGGACGTCATGCAGGAGGCGCTGCAGGTGCACTTCCAGGGCCTGCAGTACCGTGAGCGTAATGCCGGCCATGAAATCGACGCTCATATGACGGATCAGGGCTTCAACAATCACATCGGCGTGCATCCAGAGACGGGCTTTGTGTTTGGCGGCAACAGCGCCAACTGCGGCACCTGGATGGACAAGATGGGCTCGTCCGAGAAGGCGGGCAATCGTGGACGACCCAGCACGCCTCGCGATGGCTCAGCCGTGGAGTTGATTGGGCTGCAGTACGCCGCCCTGCGTTTCATGCAGAGTCTCAGCGAGCGAAAGATTATTCCACACAGCGGCGTGGAGCGCAAGGGGCCGTCGGGCGAGGTGACCAAGTGGAGCTACAAGGAGTGGGCGGATCGCATACAGAAGAACTTTGATGCGTATTTCTATGTCAAGGAGACGGACACCACAGCGGTGGCCAACAAGAAGTGCATCTACAAAGACAGCTACGGCGCCACGCAGGACTGGACCGACTTCCAGCTGCGCTGCAATTTCCCCATCACGCTGACAGTGGCACCAGAGCTGTGCAATCCTAAGAACGCCTGGCAGGCCCTGGAGCAGGCCCGAAAGCATCTGCTGGGCCCCTTGGGCATGAAGACCCTGGATCCAGATGACTGGAACTACAGAGCCAATTATGACAACTCAAACGACTCCACAGACTGCACGGTGGCGCATGGCGCCAACTATCATCAGGGACCCGAGTGGGTGTGGCCCATCGGTTTCTATCTGCGCGCCCGGCTCATCTTTGCCAAGAAGTGCGGCTACCTGGACGAGACCATTGCCGAGACGTGGGCCATATTGCGGGCGCATTTGCGAGAGATTCAGACATCGCACTGGCGCGGCCTGCCCGAGCTGACCAACGACAATGGCAGCTATTGCCGTGACTCGTGCCGCACGCAGGCCTGGAGCGTGGGCACCGTGCTGGAGGTGCTGCACGATCTGCACAGCCTCGGCGCCGATTGCTAGGCAAATGATCTTAATGCGAACTCAACGAATCTCTCGTTAGCTGAGAAACTATTATTCTAATTGATACACAAAAAAGAAAAGGAAAGAAAAAAGTAATCCAATTACACACTTAAATGGTAGCTGCTACAAAGGATGAAGTTAGAGTTGTTCAATTTGTTATCCAAGTGGTGGATCATCCATACTCTCTATTAAAGTTATTTTATCTATGCGATCAGTTGCCTTTTGTTTCGGCTTGTGCGGGTCTACGAGAAGTAGCTGTCCCTGGCTATGCGCATCATGGAAGTCTTTGGCTGGCAAATGGGCCCACAACTCCTGAATGCAAATTCGATATACTCTGAGTCTAGCTGCTGGCTGCTGAGCTTGGGCTCCACATTGAAGCCATCTAATGTTGCGGGCGGATCTCGTTCCTCGATGGACATCCTCCCATTATCCTCTGCTTTTGCGATCTTAAATTTTTGTTTAAATTTCCACGCGTTCATCTAGCAATCAATGGCAATCACAGTAATTATGCTCCAAAGCAATTGATGTTTCACTTACGATGCGGCATTTATATAAAAATTGTGCGGCGGCGGCACAGGTCAGCTCGTAGGCGCTATATAAGACTATCTTTTGAACAACATCCAAAACTATCGACATGCTGCTACCTCTATTTCCAATAGAAACTGCTCAATTTTGATCAGAAATTTGGGTGGGTGCCTAACATTTGGAATAAACAATCACTAATTATTAAATAAGTTTGCCCACAGCACATTGTATGGCAAATTCATTTAAGAATGATACTTGATCAGGTATGTTGATTTAGTATTGATTTAAACCAAATGTTAAACTAATTCTGCGCATTATTCCAAAAGTCTAAAACTAGCCATGGACTTTCCAATTAATGTGTTGAAACAAATTTGAATGAATGAAAAATCAAAGTCTGCCTAGAATTTGAATAACATAAAGAAAGGCAATCTTTCGTTCAGTTCTTAATATAACATATGTATATATTTGAAATTAATACTTAAAACAATATTAATTAGTTTTTTTCAATTGAAGCAATCGATCCATATAAATAGTTTATATAACTATGTGTAGATTGCTAAGCATATAGGCGCATCTTCTGCTAGATACTAAATTAATACATTATCTTCAATATAAATAAGTTAATAATAAAGCTTATTGGCCCTGTGAACATTAGACTGGAGCTGTACATCTGTCCATACATCCGGTTGCATCATCTTCTGATGCACGTAGTGCTTTCAGTTCAGTTCAGCGCACTATTTAGCCTTTTATCATCTCTATCTGTGTCTGCGTCTGTGTTGGGCGTGGAGCTCGCTTTATCTAGATCATCGTCGTTAACGGACTTCAGTTCACGTCCCATATTCTCCACTTGCAGGGCGATTCCGATCAAGCCGCCGCTCTTCACTTCGTTTAGTTTTGGTTCGGGAAGACAATTTTCATTGCCATCGGCGTCACGTTTGACGCGTATCGCCGACTGTGCCGTCGTCGTCGTCATCTGCTGCTCCTTTAGCTGCAACAGCTCTCGCCGGATGGCCTCCACGTTTTCAGCATCGACAGACTTGTTGGCCGTTAGCTCGGCAGCCAAGGCACTACTGTTAGCTCGAGCCTTGGTTGAATTGGCCAGCGCCAAAGGCAGCGGCAGCCGTTGCGCCAGTGGCGGCGCATCGCCACTCGCATTCCGCAGCAGCTCACCCGTTTTGTAAGAGAGTGGCTCAAAGACGCCAGCGTGCGCTTCCTGCTCCTCCCGCGCGTGAGCGTTCTCCGTCAGAATTTCCAAAAGTGAAGCGGGCTTCCGTTCCCTTATCGTGTTGTTGACCTCTTGTTGTGGTTGCAGTTGCAGCTGCTGTTGTGGTTGCTGTTGAGGCTGTGGTTGTGGTTGGGGTTGAGATGGAGGCTGTGCCTGTTGTTGTGGTTGCAGTTGTTGCTCTGGCAGTGCCATCTGTGGCTTCTCTTCTATTTTGTTTTTGTCATTTTGCAGACGATTGGTTTCTTTGACCTGATTTAGTGCTTCAGCCAGTTCATTGAGAGCCAGAGGTTTCGGATTATTGAGGCTTTGATTGGCCAATTGATCGTTGATTTTGTCGACGCTGCGCTCCAAAAGTTTCATTGTGTCTGCATTCTGTGGCTTTTGTTTGGCCAACTCCTCGTTTAGTTTGTCTACAGTGCGACCCAATCTCTCCATTTTCTCTTTAAGTTCTTTTTCTGTTTTAAGCAACTCGACTACACTTACTTTATCCTTCTGCTCCTCGGCCGTAATTTCCTCCTCCTTTTTGATGGCTGCTCCATCTATGGTCTGCTGTGCAGCTATGTTCATGGGCTGTGAAGCTTCCTCTTTCTCGGGAGCCACACTCACTGGAATCACCCCCTCTGCTCTTGTCAAGTTTTTATTGGGAACTATTTTTGCATCTTTTACAACTGCAACTGGTTGGGGTTTTTCTTTGGGCAGACTTTCAGACTTATCTGGCGGGGCTTCGTTTTTCGAATCCAGGCCATGGGATTCGTCAACGGGCAGTGGTGGCATCGGTGGATTCTCGGAAACAGCGATCACAACGTTGGGCTTTTCGACAAGATTTATGCTATCTGCGGCCCGTACACGTTTGTTCTCTTCCAGTTTTCCTAATACTTCTTTGACTTCAGCCTTATTTGGTTTTACTAAGTGTTTGTTTACTTCGGGGTTTTTTAAATTGGGAACCTCGACGGGTGGTGGGATTTCGTTGGTTAACAATGGTGTGACCACTTGCACTGCATCGAACTGGGGACCAGAGCTCTGGGCATCGATGGCGTGCAGGTTGGCATACGTGCCCAGAATCATCAGGCAAAAACCACTGACGAACACAAACTGTGCCAAAGTGCGTTCCGTGGAGTCTTTCTTAATGATCTGGCGAAAGCTCGACGCTGGAAACATTATGCATATGGCAACGCCAATTGTGGAGCCGACTAAGCCAATAATGAGCTCAACAGAGGGAATAACGAGCGCCACACAAAGCGAGAAGAAGACAATGAAGAGTGTTATCACACGGAAGCGCTGCTCGGGTATATAATTGCTGCTCTCCATGTGACCCTGTTGGGATTGCAATAGATATTAAATATTTGGGTATTCCTATATAAGCATTCACTCACCTTTTTATACAGCAAGGAGTATATGCTGGCTCTGCATGGAAATATGACCAGTGGAAAGCTGAATGCAATGGAAAGCACGAATCCAATTTTGATAATATCGCTGCCAAATGAAGGCGACAGATTTACCAAGATGTTACCTGCAATATATATTGTATATAGTCTTTAGAGGGGCGTAAGTATATAGAATATATGTACCTGAGAAGCTGTGAGTGCAGAAAGCCACATAGCCAAAGAAGCCGACTGCTATGTACACCAGTGTACAAATCCAAGTCGCATTGCGCACAATGCCATTCAATTTGTCCAGACTTTGGTTATTGATACTGCCGAAGACCTCAAAAAGTTGCCTGCAATTAAAGTGAGTTCCGCTAAAAATAGAATTCAAGCTGATATGAAAATATAATTACATTTGACAGGCCAAGGCCATGCTAAAGATAGGCAGGCATTGGAGCACACCTGCTGGCTCCCAGTAAACGACTTTCTCTGTCCAGTCGTTGGCCACAATGTGCGACTCGGACTCAAGCACAATCTTGAGCATGAGGCACACATAGAATCCAATGGAGGCAGTGCAGACAGCGGACAAGCTGTCCACATTGCGTAGCATGCCTAGGGGCACAATGCACAGGACGGTGACTGCCAACATGACCAAGGTGCGTAGATGTTGGTACTCTGTAATCTCCAATGCTAAAAGCTTGGCCACAATCTGTGGTCCCAGATCGCCAACGACAACAAAGTACGTTATGCACGTGCCAATCAGATAGCCGATGATGCAGAGTTCTGCCAGAAGTTTGCCGGATGTGCCGAAAGCGTGAAGACCAAGCATTTCGAAGCTTTTGCGACGTGTCAGCAGTGAAGTTTTAATCAAGTAGTGACAACATATGCGTGTTATCCAATTGCTTAGTATGAGCAATACGATCGACAAGATAATTCCGCATTTCTGAAAGCAAAAAGGCATCGCCAAGATGCCGACACCTATTATGCTATTCGCAAGCGTCATAACATGGCCCGAATGCGAGAACATGATGCAATTCGCTTTCACCTCGGTTGGTTTGTTAATGAGCGAAGCGAAGTTGCTAAATAAGTAGAACAGCTACTTTTTTTTCGTTAGCTGCGAACGCAGGTATCTGTGTGCGTAGGCAAAACAATAGAAACAAAGAGTTAGATTCAGACAACGCAGCGCTGAGGCAAACACACTTACATACATACCTGGGTGCCGATTGTTATCACAAACAGAAGAAGGCGCCAGTTGTTCAAGCAGAAACAATTTGTTGAAATCAAAGGCAGTTGAATATGTTTGAATAAGGCTGGTTAACGAATAGTGTGACGAAACGTATTTAATACTATTTCATTTGAAAATATCGCTGCGCAAATGTGCGCATTTTACGTTTGTGGTACTCGGTTGTCTTTTAAAGTATAATTTTGGTAACGTCAGCATTGTTTGGGTTTCTGTTCGTTCAATTCTGCACAGCTGATACTGTTGTGGATGAGCGCGTGACGATATGAGTTAATACAAGTAACGTTAATATGGAAAGCAATTTCTAAAGTATTTGTTACTTTGGTCTGCAATGTACCATATATTTATAATTCCAGTAATTAAACTTAATTTTTAATACTTTAGTAAGATATTTGATTATTGTTATAATTCGTTAAGAAACATCTTTTATATTACACGCTTTATTCTAAATTTTAGTTATAATAGAATAAGAATAATTGAGCGCATCTCTGGTGTATGATAATGTGACCAGATAATGTAATACAAAAATCTGGCATCTCCAATATTTTGCGTCCGGTGGCAACGCTGCCCGGAATGTTTCTTTCCGTTCCGTAGACTGCAATCGTCAAGATGGCCGATGTAATTTTTGTGCAAAAATCTAAAAAAATATTAAACATCCGTGTGCAGAATAGCAAAAGTTTATAATATTTACAATATCTAATGCGCTGCGCATGGCTGGGAATATTATTTTAGAGTTTTGAGTGATACATTGTATGCAAAATTGAAAACCAAAATCTGTGCTAATAAATGCCCATTGTTTTTCTTTTTATTTTGACACAAACAGCAAGTTGATGAAACTCTTAAGAAGAAGCGTACCTTCAAGAAGTTCACCTACCGTGGTGTGGACTTGGACCAGCTGTTGGATATGCCCAAGTAAGTAACAGTATTCGGCATCGAGCGGCGTCTTAAAACTAACCTAACTGTTAAATCTGTTCCTGTGCAGCAACCAGCTGGTGGAGCTGATGCACAGCCGCGCCCGCAGGCGTTTCTCGCGTGGTCTGAAGCGCAAGCCGATGGCCCTGATCAAGAAGCTGCGTAAGGCCAAGAAGGAGGCTCCCCCAAATGAGAAACCAGAGATCGTGAAGACTCATCTGAGGAACATGATCATTGTACCCGAGATGACCGGCTCCATCATTGGCGTTTACAACGGCAAAGACTTCGGCCAGGTGAGTTCACTGTTTTGCGGTCTACTACTAAGTGAGATTTCTAATTCTATTTATTTGAACCAGGTCGAAGTTAAGCCAGAAATGATTGGCCACTACTTGGGTGAATTCGCGTTGACCTACAAGCCCGTCAAGCACGGTCGTCCCGGTATTGGTGCCACCCACAGCTCACGTTTTATTCCCCTCAAGTAAGCGTCGATTCGTCTGCAGCAGAGTCTTCGGCTGCTTGTGTGGTCTGGGGCTGGTTTTTGGATTTTTACGCGTAATAAAGGAAACGTAATTTTTTAAGAACGTAATGTCGCCTTTCAATTACCATTGCCGTTACCTATGCCCCAGAGAGAGAGAGAGTAAAATGGAGTGTGTTAACAAATTTACGTTTAATATTTATTGGAACTTGCAAATTGTATATATAATGTATGGATTTATGTGTAGCTGAAGCTATCTTCGCTTTCGCGCGCTGTTGCTGTTGGTGATCACAACACGGTCGTAGGCCGTGTCCTTCATGTGTGAGTTCGATTCACGTGCGCCATTGTATACCATTTGCCTTGGCGGATTATTGCTGACATGGAGATGACTTGGTTTCAGAGTGTCGTTCACGTCGGCCGATCCGTATGCGCTGTCTTTGACTTGAGAATCATTGTGGAAGCGATTAAAATAATTCGATTGCATTGGAGGAGGCACCGCTGCAGGTGCTACGGGATTAGACAGCACTGGGAGTTGCGCAAGCGATTGGAAGGCATTAGTCAAACCCGTAAATGTCACCGTCTTGCTCTGATTAGTCTTGTTACCAATATTGCTATTGCCACCCATGAAGAAGGCGCTGCCATTGGGCACCTGGCTGCTCTGCAGCGGCTGCAGGGGCGGCAGGCTCTGGTTATTGTTGTTAAAAGCGGTGTAGGAGTTGGCGTTGTCAATGGCCGGCATGCTGGCATACATGGCCGTTTGCAGCGAGTCGGATTTGGAGCGCTGGAGAATACTCTTGGTGGACGCCCGGGTGCCGACGCCAATGGAGTTCTTAGCAGGAGTGGAGGCGTGCACAACGTGCGGCTCGTCGAGCGAGGTTAGTAGGCTGCTGCTCTGTGACTGGTTTAAAAAGCCGTCGACTTGGAGAAGTGCCGGCTGACCCTTACCTAGGCGGTTAAGCTCCATTTCCATAGAGTTGTAAATGGTCAGATTGCTGGCCAGCATGTCCTGCCTGGAGCCCAGGGTCAGCATGCTGTCTGCATTATTGAGCGTCGACGTTGAGGCCAGGTTAATGGACTTGGACGAGTGCATGGCCATGCCCATTTCGCTGGGTCCCTGCTGCAGTGCGCCCGTGCGTGGATCGAAGTGCTTCTGTGTGGCATCTTTCAGTGTGCTCTTGATTTCCTTGGGCTTGTCCGGCTGCTGAGGCTGGCGTATGGAGGAGATGTGACCGGGCACAGGCTCACGCGAAACTGACGAAGATGGCGATGCCGAATTGGTCTCCTCGTTCTCCTCCTGTCATAGAAAAGTCAATCATTGTGTGCAAGCGAGTTTCATCGATGGTTAGCACTTACCTCATCCTCCTCTGTGATAATGGACGACTCTATCCAGTCTTTTATGCGATTCTTTTTCTGCATTCGATCGACATTGGTCTCGATGCCACAGTCAGCCAGTGTGTAGAGCAGGCGATTCTTCTCGTCGGGACTGCTGTGAAAGGAATACATTGAGGGGCATAGCTCGTCTGTCTCATACTCGGCCATCTCCTTCTCCGCCGTCTTGGCCAGCCAGCGATCGTCCATGAACTTGGTCAAATCGCCCAGGCTCTTTGGTCTGTTTCCGCTGCGTGGCTCCAGGAAACGTTTAAACATGCGCTGCGCACGCGATGTCAGAAGCTAAAGAATAGAAAGGATATGTAAATTATATATTAGGGATCTTAAATTCTTGTGGATTACCTTAAAAAGTTTGGGTGTTCGCCGCAGCGGCATCATCATTATGCTGCCCTGCCACACCAGATAGCGCACATAGCGTGGATCCTCTGAGGATGCCTTTTGCCAGGGCAGACAGCCCGTTAGGCAGACGAATATAACGATGCCGAACTGCCAGACATCGTGACTGGGATCGGCTCTAGAATACAAATACAAATATATATAGTTATTTATTATATCATGTAGAATATTCTTCATAATGCAACTCACTTGTAGGTGCCTTCGGGCTTGACTTCTAATACTTCTGGGGGACTGTAGGGCAGCCATTCGTTGCGCCTTTCCACGACGGTACCAGTTTGATAGGATTCTCCGAAATCACAGAGCTTCACGCGTTGAAAATCCGAGCGATATATGAGTACATTATCAAGTTTAATGTCTCGATGCACAATGTCTCTGTAAAAGGACAGAGAGAGAGAAAGGATTTTCATAGGTATCATCAGGGCTGGGAGTACGTAAGAAGCGGGTAGCCTAGGAAGAGCTATGAGCCTAGGAATACGTGAGTAGCATACGCAGAGCGATTAGAACAGAAGAGCACACGAATACCCGAGAGGCACAAGAAGAGTGATGGGGACCCAGGAGAGAATAGTATGAGCGCCTAAAATAAAACTCCGCATGCCGCTCTTAGCACTACATAGTTCTTTATAATGATTTATCATTAGTTATGTTTAAATAAAACCAAAATAACATCATAATATAAATAATAATAATTAGAGCTATAATTATAAATAGTACAATTGCGCTCATTTATAGTATAACTAACTAATATTAACACTATTTATAAAGTAAATACCCTCCATCCAGCGAAGAAGAAGAAGCAGAGCACTGCTGTGGCGAACCGACCTCCAAGCGATCCAGAATGCCACTGAAGAAATGCTGCAGCTGATTGCCTTTATATATAACACAGGGTAGCCGAGCTCAGCTCTGGAGCATTGCTTCGAGTTCGTTTTTACACACGTAGCCTGAGCACCCGATGAGGCGACCAATCAGATCAGCTCTAACTGCTCTAAAGCAACTCTATACTAGCACGAAATGCTGCCTCACAGACACATGCATACCCTGCCTGGCCAGCTTTCGTTGCTCTTCGCATTTTCTCTATGGGAGTGCTTGTTTGATCCCTGATGATGTTAAAACCTCAATTCATATTAAATGCTCAATCACATAGACAGACAAACACATACAAAGAGACAAGCAAGCAGACAGATGGACAGACAGACAGGCACGTATTCAGCCAGACACACGGGCCTGCAGACAGAAATACAAACATACAGACTGACAGACAAAATATATGTATATATATAGGTATGTATAAATATGTTTTTAATAATATAATAAATATTATATATCTATATTAATATTATTTTAGAATGCGATTTAGATCGATATTTGTTATTGAGCTCATTGTGAATATTTTTATACATAAAAATTAAAAAAAAAAATTGAGTTTATAAAAAGAGTCCTTTATATTAAAAATATAATTATTATAAATATTTAGCTGGTATATTGTATATTTAATTAAATTTAACAACAAAACAATAATTGAAAAAAATAATTGAGTTTATAAAAAGTCCTTTATATTAAAAATATAATTATTATAAATAGTTAGCTGGTATATTGTATATTTAATTAAGTTTAACTGCAAAGCATAGCATATATTATATACATATATGATATATATATAGTTGAAATATTTTGATATATCATGCCATCAGCAACTCCTTCTGTATACTTACTTTGAATGCATATAATCTATGGCGGAGGCCAATTGTTTAGCAATGCGTTTGCTGTACACCTCGCCCACACCTGTCTCGGTCACATTTGAAGTCAGATCACCTGCAGAGCAAATGCAAAATACCCTGTAAATACAGCTCTGTGAACGGGCCTGTTCCTGTGCATACCCAGTGGTGCATACTCCTGGGTGAACACATAGAAGCCAGCCGTCTCAAAGGCCACGTCATACGTGGTCACAATGTGCCGATGGACGCCCAGGTGGAGTCCGTAGTGAAACTCGCGATAGAAGTCGCGCAAGGTGACATACGGCTTGGGCACTGCCTTGAGCACCATTTCAGTCTGAGATCCGCGATGTTCCACCAGCAGTATTTTGCCAAACCAGCCCTCGCCCACAATTTGAATGATATCGAATTCATCCACCAGTTGGATCTGAATGCAGCCAAAAATATTCAGAAATTAGTTCAGTTTGCCTTGCTTTGCTGCTTTGCTGATTTGTTTGCATGTGTTTTGGGTTATAACAGATGTTTAGTACCTGCCCCAAATACTACTACAATAACTGCACCTCCATGACACGGTTCGGTAATTGCCTAATATATATATATATATACATATATATTGTATATACATATATCGCAGTCGTGAGACCAGACATATTTAATGTTACTCTATTTTTGACATTCGCCGTTTGCTGCCCAATAAAATGAGTTCGCTTTCCTCTACTTTGCCTTCTGGCTCGGGCCGCGTTAACTATTAGCTGAGCGAAGAGATTTCTGGCCGTCTGCCAATCGCAACAAATATTGAAAATTTATAGCCTAACCGAAGTTCGAATGCCCTATATAGGACAATTCAATTTGTGTGGAAATAAATCTTTCAATAAAAATAAATTTAGAACTAAAAAAAAACCTCTATATCTATGTCAAAATAGCAATCGTAAATAAAAACAAATAAAAATCGCGTATATTTTGAATTATTTGCAATTTCAAATAATTATCAACAATTGTGTGCAAAGCAAATAAAACATAAGCCAAAACACGTGTCCAAAATAATAAAGAGAAATTCTATTATATTTCTTTTTTCATTCGCTTTCAGATCCCATTCAAGCGTATTCAAAATATTTGGTATTATTTGAATTACTGCGAATGCAAAATGTTTCTCTTTGGCCAATGGATTGAGTCAATACATTTATATGTTGGCCTGTCTGGTTATTCATTTATCAATCTTTCCGTCTGATTATTACGCTTCTCATACTTTGTTTCACGCAATTTTATTGCAGACTAATACATAAGGAAGCTCAAAGACTCACAATACTAGACAATATGTATAAAATAAATTTAATTGTAAATATGTATGATATATGTGTTTAATATATATAAAAACATATTGACATTTTATATGTACACGTGTTTAGTTTCTGTGCTATCAATCAGTCATAAATTGAGTTCTAAACGAGATATTTCTTAATTATTATTTATTATTATATTTAACAGACTGATAACATACAAAAATGTCTTTAAAGATTTTGTAAGCATTTATGTTTTGTATGAATTGTTTTCATATATATTTTATATACATATACACAGATATATATGTACCTATATTTATATACATTTTTAAACATTTTTTAGGGATTAGAGCGATTTCTAAATAGAATCAAGGTGTTCATACTAAATCTCATTTGTTAAACAATTTTCTGATTACCAGAGTTTAACGATTCTCCTAAGCAAAACGATGCTTTGGATATGAAATATTAATCAGAACTTACTTAATATTATAATATGTGCATAAAATATAAATAATATATATCCTCTTATAGCTGAGAATTACTTGGATATGATATATGTAGCTGTATAATATGTATCAGAAATCATATGTATGGAAACTATCATAAAGTTGGCTTCAACTCTTACGCTTTGCGTAGAACCCAAATGAATGGTTAATAGATGACGAGATGAGATACATAATAACCTATTATATAGTGATAGAGGTTTGACTAAGAACTATTGATATATTCGATAGCCAGCATAACTTAGCCACAATCATAGATAATTTATCTAAAGAGTTCAAAAAAAGCTTTATAACATAAAGAATAGAGGATCAACTGTTTATAGTAAGTCCATGCTAAAGGCTTATATTTAATAAGTATAATAAGTATTTTTAATATAAATAACATAATAATAAATATGTAAGGATAATCTGTTTACAATAAGTTCTTTCTAAAGGCTTGTATTTAATAAGTATAATAAGTATTCTTAATATCTCAGCACAAAGGCTTTAAAGACCCATCTAATATATTATTTAATACATATACTTAAAAGAAAACAAGTAAGAAAACTCTAGTCGAGAGTGCTCGACTAGATACTACCCTGAACCAAACTAATAGAAAAGCACATTTAGTATGGTTCAAATTTCAATTTCGAT